TTCATCTCTTCCTTATTTTCCTGTCCAACACATAAAAGTCCAGATAACTCTCCTGTGTATTTGTGCTTTTGATTCAGTTTGTGGGGCTTGTTGAGTTTCTGGTGAGAACTCTAGTAACTCCATGTTAGTTTTCTTTTAAACACACAGAAGAATAAAAGGTGAATTTCTGGGGAGTTTGGCTTTGAGTATTTAGAGAGTCAGAGATCCTTTATTGTCATTAGCACCTCATGTGGTACATGTGGTGGAGCGAAATTATGTACACAGGGTCCCAGTTACATCCAACAATAAAATGTGTAAGAAAAACAGTAATAACATCTAAGATATGAACTAAGAAAAACATCAACTAAATATACACTAAGCACTCATAACATAAAACATTGAACATCAGCACAAAAAACACTATTTAACCAATTACTTCACCATTTAGAGGTTAATAATATGTTAAGTGATAACCAACATGGTTTTCGTGCTTCTCGATCAACCATGTCAACATTAATATTATTTACTGAACAAATACGTGCTGCTCTGAATAAAGGTCAAATAACTGGTTCTGTATACATCGATTTCCGTAAAGCCTTCGATACAGTCGATCATTATACTCTCTTACAAAAATTGACTTCTTTTCAACTTTCTTCTTCTGCAATACAAATGTTTTCTTCCTATTTAACTGACAGGTGTCAGGTAGTGAAACATGGAAGTTGTATATCCCGATCACTGCCATGCTCTGTGGGAGTCCCGCAGGGTAGTATACTGGGACCATTGCTTTTTTTACTTTACATAAATGACCTTCCAAAAGTACTTAATCACTCTAATATTTTAATGTACGCTGATGATACTGTTCTTTTCCTGTCTGGTTCAAATACTGATTCTATCAACAGTCAGTTACATGCAGATCTTCAGCAATTTCATTTCTGGCTACAAGAAAATCGCTTAACGATTAATGTAAAAAAAACCGTATGCATGTATTTTTCCTCACCTAGGAAACATTTTACTATATCAAATCCTCTTACTTTTTTTAAACAAACCTCTTTCTATTGTCACTACTTATAAATATCTGGGAGTTATTTTGGATTCTCATTTAACTTATCATGATCATGTGCAATCCTTATGTACTAAGCTGAAACAAAAAATGTATGTTTACTCCAAAATTAGATCAAATCTGACATCTTCTGTTTCCAACACTTATCTTCATGCCATAATACTTTCAACTCTGTCGTACTGTTTACCTGTCTGGTCTCTCACTACTAATGAAATATTAAACCCATCGCTAGGCTCTACAACAGGGCCTACAAAATCCACAACAAACTCCCTGGTTGGACTCATCACTGTACAGCTCTTTCTTCTTCAAATGCTTTAACTTTTCAAAATTATGTCCTACACAGCAGTATTAAGTTGTATTTCCAGGTTTTTTATGGTATTAATAATGTAGCTCTCTCTGCTTTGATCCCTAAATCCAAGTGTGGAAATGGTCGCTCAACTAGAGCTGCTACAAGCGGACAATTGCCACTACCAGCCTTTAAAAACTGTTATGGACAGAGATCGTTTTTCTATGTTTACACCAAAGCATGGAATGACACTCCACAACATGTGAAATCCATCTCAACATTGGCACTTTTTAAGAAGACTCATGTGCGTCATCTGTTAGACTCCTTCTTTTGCAATCACTGTTAGGTGTCTGCCGTGTAAATGCTGCTGTTCTTGTGTTTTGTAATGTGATGTGTCTGTATGTCTATTGATGAGGTGTGGTGCTGAATATCTGTGTGCTTAATTTATGTTCTGCAGAACAGGAACCTGCTGTAAAACAGCAATTATGCTGAGCCAGGCCCGATTTCTTTTAATCTTTTCCTGTTTAAAAATTAAATAAATAAATAAATAAATAAACATGAACATGAGCCTGTGAGCGGATGAGCACGCATGAACACATAAACATTGAAACAGATCAGCAGCAACATGAAACAGATCAGCAGCAACATGATGTGGCTTTTCAGTGATTATTCTGGTTAGAGATTCATGAGTCTAACAGCCTCAGGGTAGAAGCTGTTCCTCAGTCTAGTGGTTCTACACTTAATGCTCCTCAACCTCCTTCCTGAGGGGAGTAAGGCACAAAGTGTGTGTGCTGGGTGAGTGGGGTCCTTCATGATGCAGGTGGCCCTCTTCCTGCATCTGGAGGTGTAGATGTCTGTGATGGTGGGGAGGCTGATTCCAACAGACTTCTGTGCAGCCTTCACCACTCTCTGCAAAGCTTTTCTTTCTGCAGCTGTGCAGCCTCCATGCCACATGTTGATGCTGGAGCACAGGATGCTCTCCACTCTCCTCTCTCTTAGCTGTGATTAGTAAAGAATTTGATCTGAAATTTTATAAAAAGTCAAACACATTTTTTTTTTTCTAATTAACCACATAATTTTCAGACCAGTTAAATTTCTTAAAGCTCTCAAAA